CTTTCTGTGAGCGGGTATGAGAGCTTACTACTCCCTGTGACCTTGCTTTTTCTATTTTTCTTTTTCTTTGCTGGCCAGTACTGTTCTAATTTATACTATTTCTGATCTCTTATTGCCTCCCGAGCAATTTTGTGCACTTTTCTTTTTATTGCCGTCCCTACGGCCCCTTATTGATCTTCATCACTCACACTAGTGACGGCTGCCTTTCTCTCAGGCAGAGCGTGCTATTCAGGTTGTTTGCCCGTACAGACCTCCTTTGTTCAAGAAGCGGTATCCACAAACACCTTACTATCTTAATTTAGGTCGTTTGCCCATATAGACCTCTTATCTTTTAAAAAGATAAAAGCGGTATCCACAAACGCCTTTAGGCCTTTAGGTCGTTTGCCCGTGCAGACCTTTCATTTAAAAAGACAAAAGCAGTATCCACAGACGCTGTCTTCTCCCGAGACAATACGAACAACATAAAGAACAAATAAGACGAGTGTTCCCTGTTTGACTTGATACAGTAATATTACCACAAATTCTCGCCACCTCACAATTTTAAGCATTCTCATTTAGCTTTACTTTTTCCAACTACATTCTCCTCCGCATCCGGGCTTTGTTTTTATATCTTTCAATACACTTCCTCTGCTCAACCTTTCTCTACTTCCCTTTATTTCCCTCTGCCTTTTCTTACGGCCTTTCTGGCTCACTATCAGCTTTCAATGGCCTTCAGCAAACACCAACACTGTTATCAACATGCAAAAACATTGAGTTTCTCATTCATTCACACTTTCCGCACCATGGTCATACACAGTCAGGGACACAGACAAGTTGCATGCAACACATATAGCTGCCATAAAGTTTTTACCTCTTTTTCCTGTGATTGTATAAATTTAGTATGGGTTAGGTTCAGTAGAGGTGAGTCATAACAAGATCTTTTTACCTGGTCGGACGCACTCTGTTCACAGACACCCTTGGAATTTGCAGAAAAAATAAAAAGGCTCTGCTTACCTTGTTAATTTGGCAGCTGCGGGTCTGTGAAGCAGTGTGCGGCCGTCCCCAGGCTCTGGATCCTCGACTCTGTCCTGTCCTGGCTAGCTCGCCAATTTGTTTTGGTGAAAACTAAGTTCCACTCGTTGTCAAAAAGTCCAAAAATTCAGTCGAATAAAAAACAGGAGAATCAACTAAAAAGCAGCAGAGTTTTATTGTTGACAAGAAAACCCAAGAGCATTCGGTAGTGAGCCCGAGCCACACCAGAGAAAAACTCTAACGGTGGTGTTGTTCCGCTTTATGCCACGTCTGTTACTTATCTGACTGGTCTATCATTACATCTATCATTTATGGTCTGACATCGTGATCTACTCTTATTGGTTATTGGGGATGGTCTGACATTGCGACCTTCCCCCTGGAAAGTCTCCAAACACCTGGGTTGCTTTGGATGGCCTTGGAACTGGGACTCTCCCTCTGGAGAGCCCCTACCTTGCCATGATATGTCTCTTTTTTCTTTAAACAGTTTTTCTTACTCTTTACACCATTATATTCTGTCCAAATCATTTACTATTTTTATTTAAAGATATTTATTATTATTAATGGATATTTGACACCATTATGTTTTCTTTTTTGTCAGATTGCCTTTTTTTTAAATATTATTATTTCTTTATACAAGTTACACACACACATCACACTGCTTGTAACACACTGAGTATATTATTTGATTCGTCATTGCTGCGTTAAACTTGTTATAATCATCAGTAGAGTATGTCTCTTTTTAACTTTAACACACATTAGATTGTAGTGCAGATTAAAGGTATATAGTGACATTCATATTGTGACATTGTAAAGTGACCAGAAATTACACTACACTTGGAGCCAGTCCCAAGTGGCCAATCAGCAAACAGTTTTTTGCACTTCTGTATGGGCTTCACAGCTCACCCCTGGTTGTTGCATTTGATCTGTCTGCATGCAAATGTTTTTTCAATGTACTTAAATAGGTGCCTCATAAACTCAAGTGAATCCAACGAACACAAAGTAAAACTCAAGACCTGTATGTGTTCTAATAACTTCTGATAAGTGTTAATGAGTATTGCTAACATGTAATGTGAGCGCAGGTTACACCCACCACCTCTTCTCTTACCAGCAATTGAGTAATGGTTTTATTTAATTTTCTCTCAGGGATCAGTAAAGAAATCTATCAATCGCTAAAAGGCTCTCCTGATGCATTTTTGTATTGTATTACAACTAGCCTTAGCAGTTGTACATCCACAGTGAACATAGTCAAATACCACTTGGGTAGAAAACTTGAGAAAATAACAAAACTACACTAAAACACAGGAAGGAGGTTGGAACTGCTGCAACTACCTTCTCAATGTGTAAAGTTGTGTTTTACAATAAGTGAAGGCATGTAACAAGTGTTGCTAAAATTCTACATAAAGCAAATGTAAGTAATGCAATGTACAGTATACATGACTTAATGTAAAGAAATTAACAATAAGTCAAAGAGACTAAAATGTTTTTTTCTATCTTTCTGTCAGCCAACACATACTTCTTCATGGTGCAGGCTCAGGGCATCATGTTGAGGGAAAATGTAAGGACCATTGGCCAGATGATTCGATTGTACACCAATAAAAACAGTACAGTCAATGGGACAGGTAAGTGATAATCATATACATGTTTACCGTATGTTCTATTGCCTGCACTGTTTCCTGGCTAAATACAGATGTTTTACATAGAGTGCATTACATTTAAAAAGTTACAGTTGCAGTAGAGTCTGGAAAAGCCTTAAAACAATCTCACAGCAGAGGAAACCAGACTCCCAGGCTGCAGGGGATCACACGTGGGTGAACAACCTGAACCTATTCTTCAACAGGTTTGACCAGACATCCACCCCTCCCCAGGCCCAGTCATCTCTGCTGCCCCCCACCACCTCTTCCATCCCCCCTGTTTCCTGCCCCATTCTCACCTCTACCTCCCTCTCCACTGCTTTCAGTGGGATCAGCACCAGGCTCCTCAAGTCCTGTACAGACTAGCTGTGCAGGATTGTGGAGTACATTTTCAACATGAGCCTGAAGCTGGGAAAAGTGCCACTGCTATGGAAAACCTCCTGCATGGTACCAGTACCAAAGATCCCTCACCCAAAAGACTTCAAAAGCTACAGACCAGTTGCTCTCACTTCACACCTGACCCATGGACCCGTCCATCTCCACCCTCTGGTGGGTCCTTTTATGGACCCACTCCAGTTTGCCTATCAACCTGGCATCCGAGTGGACGACGCCATCATCTTCCTCCTGGACAGATCGCTGTCTCACCTGGAGAAGCCTGGAAGCACTGTGAGGATCATGTTCTTTAATTTCTCCATTGTTTTTAACACCATTCAGCCTGCACTTTTGGGGGACAAGCTGGAGCTCGCAGGGGTGAACCAACACCTCACAGCCTGGATCTTCGACTACCTCACCAACCGGCCACAGTATGTGAGGAGTCGGGACTACGTGTTGGACACAATAATCTGCAGTACAGGGGCCCCACAGGGAACCGTCCTGGCCCCTTTCCTGTTCACCTTGTACACTGCAGACTTCTACAAACAATCACCTCACTGCCATCTACATGACTAACTTGCATGTGCATGGAGGGGTCATTGTTGACGTTAACAAATTGAAATCTATCTGATAAATATGATTTAAACCAGTCTAGTGTTGTTCCTCTGATCCCTATATGTTGGTCTAGTCTCTATGACAGAATCTTATGATCTATGGTGTCAAATGTTCCACTAAGATCCAACTGGACGAGTACAGAGACAAGTCCATCATCTGAGACCATGAAAAGGTCATTAGTGACTTTTAATAGTGCTGTTTTTGTGCTGTGATGGATTCTAAATCCTGAGTTTTCTGGCAAACGTTACTATCTAAGTAATCACACAGCTGGTTAGCAACAGCTTTTTCTAGGATTTTGGAAAGGAGGGCAGGTTTGATATAGGTGTATAATTAACTACAACCTCTGGTTTAATTACAGCTACATTGAAAGCTTGTGGTATGTAGCCGGTTAGCAAAGACATATTAATCTGATTTAATATGGAACTGTCAATCAGGGGGAAAACTTCCTTAAAAAGTCCAGTTGGGACAGAGTCTTATTGACAAGTTGTTGGTTTACACGACCTGAAGCCGGTGCATTCGGTGACCACAGACAACAATATCCCGGCTGAAATCTTGAGACTGACACGCAGGAGATGCAGAGGAAGTACAAAACTATGGAGGAAAAGGGAGGCTGTGGAGAAAAGTTATAAGCTGAGTCTCCCCTCCATCGTCATGGGAAATGTGAGATCGCTGGGGAATAAGATGGACAAGCTGACGGCACTGGCCAAAAGTCAGAGCGAGTATTGTGAGTGTAGTTTAATGTGCTCACAGAGACATGGCTGCACCAGGATGTTCCCAACGACAGCACCAATATCAAGGGCTTCCACAGTGCACGCGGACAGAGACAGCGTCCGGAGTAAGCGCAAACAATGGGGGCTTGCCGTTCTTGTGAATAGCCGGTGGTGTAACTCAGGATGCTGAACTGTTTGCTGTCGGACTCCGTCCATATTACCTGCCAAGGGAGTTTTCTCACGTTATCATGGTGGCTGTTTATGTTCCTCCCTCTGCTAACCCAAACACTGCCTGTGAAATAGTTCATTCTGCAATAGCCCGGCTACAGACTCCACACCCAAGTGCATTCATTGTTATCTCGGGTGATTTCTACAATGTTAACCTGGACTCTGTACACTTTCACCCAATTTGTGAGCTGTCGCACCAGAGAGGGAAGAACAATAGACTTGCTGTATTTGAATTTCCCTCCGGGGATTAATAAAGTGTTTCTGATTCTGAGTAGAGGTGTGAATTTCTGTCAGCCTGGCTACAGTGCTGAAGAGGAACCTGAGGTTGTTCTTATTTTCCTCTATTGATGGTGAATGATAGGATGTTCTGTCATTTCTGAGTGCTTTCTTGTAATTTGTCAGGCTGTCTTTCTAGGCCAGGTGAAAATCATATTGACTGGTCATGTGTGAGGCTCAGTACTTTATTGCAGAATTTCTAGGGGGCTCCTACTTGCTGAAATGAATTCCAACCTAGATCACCAGATAACGGAGGGTACATAAATCCATAATATCAGGCACATATAAAAGTAAATACACATTTAAATGCTTGGCAAGCATAACTAACTTGTGTATGTAATTCTGTAAACATTTAAATGGTTAAGCTTTTTAAAACATAACCAACTTCGTGAATCACCCTAGTGTACTACCCACTTGTTGTCTACCCTCTGCAGACTGGAGTACATCCTCAACCTTTCCTCCCATCTCAGCATTAAGAGCTGAAATGGGTTTTTTGGTGAAACATTTTTTCCTTTGTAATTCATACCAGGTTCCAATGTTTGTAGCATCCAGCAAAAATCTAAATATTTGACCAAACTATACAGACAGAGGTCCCTTTTTTTCTGTTGACTTGCATTCATTTACTATAACAACGTTAAGTTGAATATTTTTTTCTGTTCCTTTTTTTACCTGTGGAAATAAAATAGTCATACAAAAAACACACGTAGGAGATCTACATGCTCCTTGTTTGAACAACAGATGCACCTGATATCAGATTAGCGACCCAGCAATCACACTCTGCCACTATGCCCCAGTTGCGCTGCAATATGCCTACCCACACCTGTGCACAGGGAGTGGTGTGGAGATGCATACTCACAGGGGTGGACGTAGGCTGAGTTATGTCCAGCTACAAAGCCCATATGTGAACATATATTAGCAGGACCTCAGGGATTTTAGTTTTGAGTTCCACCTTGGTCAGGTGGAGGATCAGCTTGAGATACTCTATGTCCACCCCAGCTTGTAGCAGTAGGAGTTTCCGCAGCTGAAAGTGTCTCAGGCCAAGCCCATGAATCCATCCCTTGGGAAGAGATCCAGTGATGCAGCCAAAGATCCCCACCTGCAGATAATGCATCCACTCATACCAAAACACAATCATATACAAACACACCAGAACTAACTTAGTCAGGGCCTTCCATTTCTGCCATCCTCTCTCAGCACCTTCCATCCCCTATGAGCAAGAGTTAAGCCCTTGATAGTTGTGTGTCAAAGGTTACTCCATATTTTATCAATGAGAATGACAGATTTGGACACTCTGGGCTCTCCATCACCTGGTGCAAATACTACAGGGCACACTCAGAGCTCTTCACAGTGGCCTCTCATTCATCTGATTTTAACTGTACTGGACCGTTGGTGTGTGCATATGGGAGTAAGTGAGGCCCTTCATTTATAATACAAGTGCGCTATGACTCTCTGTGGGTGTGTGGTTGACAAATGTACTGAACTCAATTCATCACTTTTCAAATGTACTTTAGATTGTGTTGCAGTTTCCGTTCGGGGTGCTTTTGTTTTTAATTCAGGCTTTTAAAAAAAAAAAACTGTATCAGAGATTTAATGATATAAAAAATTGGGTACTGGCCAACTGTACTTATGGTGTTTTGACTGATGAGGTTTTTATTTTAATTTTCTGTAGACTATCCTGATGGCAGTAACTCCAGTGAATACCTTGTCCAGCCAACTACATATCTTCCAGAGAACTTCACCTATGCCCAGAACCTTTCCTGCCCTGAGCGATTGCCTTCTATGAGTGAGTAGACTGGTACCCAACACCAGAAAAGTGTTTGTTTCAGGTGGTCAATGAATTCATTAATTCAAGTTTTTAATTTCAAATGAGCTTTACTGCTCTCCATGCTTTGCTGCCTCATTGTTTAGTTGGGAAAAAAAAATAAAAAAATTAGAAAAAAAGTGCTCTTATTTCGAGAAATATTCTAATCTTTTAGGTGACATTCCTTGCTCTAATATTAATAATATCAATAATATCATCTCTCCATCCACCAGTTAATACGGTTGGCCAGTGGAAATTTGCAGTTACAATCTTTTAACAATCCCACTTATTAATGCTATGTAAAATCTGCAGCATTGTGTTTTTTATTTTCTTATTGATACATTTATAGAAGCAGGTAGAGCCACAGACTCTTTCAAACATACTGACTGTCTTGTGTTTTCCTGTTGTGATTTGTTTTGTTTTGTTTTTGTTTTGTAATGCTCATGTATCTGTGGGACCTTGGACCAAAAACTCTTCACAGAGGGCCTTATGGAAGTGAACATGACAGAGATCCCTATGGAGGATATTGAACTAAAGTTCTCCAAGTTTTTTGACATTGAATTTGGAGGCCATTGGACACCAAAGGACTGCAGACCTCCCTGGAAGGTTGGTTTATAGATTTCACATGTACAGATGACACTGTTTTTAATTAGATGCTTAACCAGAATGCTTCATAGGTTTGCCCATTCCCATTGTAAGAAATGTCCAAATCTGTTTTAATTGCTGTTTTTTGTTTTATTATGATTATTATACATGCATTACCACAGAAATACCAAAAATATATTAATGAATAAAGTTACAGCAACACTTGCAAGATGTGAAAAAGTCAAGCACCTGCACTAAGGGTAGAATTGTATTCGGGACAGCCCACTTTGAAAACAGCTGGCGAGAGTGGGTTGTTCAACCATTTGAATGCTGGTGGTTCAATCTCTGTTAGACAAGATACTAAACACCTAATTGTACCTAATAGAACAGTGATAAATCAGTTTCTGAGTGAGTGTGTATACATGAATATGTGTGCTAGTGGGTGAGTGACATGTGAAGCATTTGTTCCAAGCAGTGGCCCTTTAGACAAGTACACTGCATTTACTTAATACAACATGCATTTATATAATAAGTATATATTGATTCGTACTGATGTATTTGTGTTGTAGGTAGCAATCCTGATTCCATTTAGAAACCGCCATGAACATCTTCCCATTCTCTTCCAACACCTCATCCCCATGCTGCAGAGACAGCGGCTGCAGTTTGCCTTCTACGTCATTGAACAGGTGTGTTGTATTGATGTTTGTGTGTACTGCAGTGTATTGTGAGACATTTTTTTGTTTAACTTAGGGCTGCTGCACACTAGAGGATAATCAGGCCAATTTTAGACCCGATTTCGTCCCTTCCGACAATTGCGGGGCATTCCCGATTGGAGGCCAGTCGGTGCAGATTATATGCCCAAATATTCAATAGAAAAATAAAGCATGTTTCTGTGAGATTCCAAGTGGTCCTAGTTTGTGTGCATTCTGACAATTGAAATACAAAATCTGTGGTCTCCAACATAAAATCCATTTTGTAATCTGTTGAGAGTTGAAAATCATCTAGTGTGCACTATGCATAAAATACTGATATTCAACTGAATTAATATGTTCTACACTAATGT